AATAAATGGAGTTCTAGCAAAGTTTTGGTGGGGATCTGGCGATAAAAAAGGACTACATTGGTACTCATGGGATCGCATATGTACACCAAAGAGAGAAGGTGGGCTAGGTTTCAGGGATTTAGAGCATTTCAACCAAGCTTTGCTTGCAAAGCAAGCATGGCGAATTCTGCAACACCCTGAATGTTTGATGGCAAGAGTACTAAAAGCGAGGTACTTCCCTCATGACAATATATTAACAGCTACTATAAAGAGAAAATCGTCCTATGCATGGAAATCCATCATACATGGAGCACAATTACTAAAACAAGGAATGAGATTCATCATTGGTAATGGAGAGCATGTTGATCTATGGGTAGACCCGTGGCTACCGGAGCATCCTCCAAGAGCACCAAGACCTCGGCAAATAGGAAATAATACTCAACGGGTTTGTGAATTATTCACTACTGATCGTAGGAATTGGGATGAAAACAAAGTCAGAGAGTTCATTCATGCTGATGATGTACAGAAGGTTCTTTCCATCAAAATCTGCTCAACAGCACAACTAGATTTATTGGGGTGGCACTATAATGAAGATGGTATTTACTCGGTCAAATCGGGCTACTGGTTAAGTACTCACCTTCCCCAAAACCAAATGGCGTTACCAACTTATGGCGATCCTAATCTCAAGAAGAAAATCTGGAAAACAAAGACTGCACCAAAACTCCAACATTTTCTTTGGAGAATACTTTCTAAAAGTTTACCAACACGAGAGAATCTTCAAAGGCGACATATAATTCCGAATGCCCAATGCCCTCGCTGTTGCCAAGCTGCTGAAACAGAACATCACATTCTATTTGAATGCAGTTATGCCCAGAGAGTATGGAGAGCTTCAGGATTCTCAAATCTAATCATCAATAACCCTACGACAACTTTAGAAGAGAAAATTAAAGAATGTCTGCAATGTGGTATTTCAACTACTATGAGACACTTTCAAGATCTTCCTCTTTGGATTCTCTGGAGACTATGGAAGAGTAGAAATGTTTTGTTGTTTCAGAATTCAGAAATCCCATGGGGAAAACTTCTTCGTCAAGCAAAGACAGATGCAAAGGAATGGATAGAGATTCAAGCAGCAACAAATAATAGGTTTGGACAGAGAGATGGGAACGGGAGATCAGAAGTACAACAAGGATGGACAAAACCACAACAAGGATGGCTAAAATGTAATATACCAAGCAAAGCTGGATGGATATTTCGTGATGAACACAGTTACTATCGAGGTGCAGCACAAGCTACCGGTAAGAAGGTTAATAATCCATTGGAGAGTGAAATACAAGCTCTGGTAATGGCAATGCAACATAGCTGGAGTAAAGGTTTCAAGAAAATTACATTCCAAAGTGATTGTAAAAAAGCGGTGGAAATTATCAACAAACAACTACTGCATTTTGACGCCTACAATTGGCTTCGAGAAATAATAAAATGGAGACAAAAGTTTGAGGAGATTCGAGTAGAATGGATTCCAAGATTGGGGAACAAAGCAGCAGATCGTCTTGCTAGGATGGCTATACCAAATGATTCTAATTTTTATTATCTTTTTTATGTTCCTTACTCTATAACTAATGACCTCCATATGGATCTTTTAAACAGTCATCAAAGTTAATAAAATGTGATGTTATAAAAAAAAAAAACTTCCCGAAGCATCTTTTGTTTCTCCTCCAGATCTCTTCGATCTAAATAGTCCGTATTCTGTCGTTATTTTACTTAGATAAAGACACAAGATAGATTAATTGATAACCTCCGGAAGTCTTCTAGCAAACAGGTTTGACTTTGCCTCAAACCGATTGTTTACTTTGATTTCTTATTTATAGCTTCGGTTATACTCACAAATATATATATATATATATATATATATATATATATATATATATATATTCTGTGTTCTGATTTTGTAACCTTCATCTGAGGGAAGAACATGGAGACGCTTCCGAAGGACAGATATAGGTCGTTCCAGGATTAATTTTGAAGATTGGTGATGAATCAGTATAAGCTCTTGTTTATTGATAGTAAGTTATAATAACCATACCTGGTAAATCCTCGATTAGGATCTTAGGAAACCAACACACTTGTCTATGAAATCTGAACATTAAAGTTTCTGGGTCAATATATTTTTCAGGTACTTTGATAGTGTTAGGTCATAAGAGAGGTGACCTGAAGACCCTATGGACAACATGGGAACCCCAGAGGTCATGTCCTCATGTTCGCCTTCAACCATGATTTCATCTCTGTGTCAGATATATGTTCGTTGCAAAGGTAGACATTATCTATAGTTTACCTTTGGAACTTAAATAGTTTAGATGATATTTTGAAGAAGATATAGAAATCAAATTCTGTCGGTCAAAAGTAGAATCAAATTATAGTTCTTTTTAAACATGAATATCATATGCAATTCGTAATAAGAGATGTACTACTGACTCGATTGTCTCAGTTGTGTTAAAATTCGCATTATATATTAGTGATATAGCTGAAAATCTATTTTTATAAAACAGACAGACATGGGACAAAGTGATAAATGGAAAAGGTCATGCAGAGTCATGGTGAAGGAGAAACAGAGATGATTTCTAACATCACATAACAAAGGGAAGGCACACAAATCAGTTAGTAAATGTTCAATGTACGTGATTCTTTTTATGATATGATTGTACAATGGGCTGATATTGTCTTCTTTTTAAAATGTGTCGCTCAAAATTATAGATGGAGAGAACGACCTTGAAGTTATGAAGATGCAAAAGAAGAATACTCAGTTTACAGGACAACAGAGTTATATTCATAAGGTTAGTAATTACTGATCTATTTTAGCTATTTCGTAAGGTGAAAAAACTTAAGACATCACAGAATAAGTTTTTAGAATATGGAACACTGGTTTTAGAGTATATGTTTGATAAAAATAAGACTCAGCCATGTTAGTCTTATATAAAAGCAAATTTTTTAGATATGGTTGTAAATGACCAAACAGAATTCATGCGTTTGTCTAAATGAAAATATAACAGTCTTATTGAAATAAATGAGACTGTTAAAAAATATTCTCTGTTGATTTGTTTTTTAAGTATCGTAAATATAGGAGTTGGTCTTAGCTAATATGATATTTAAGGATAGGGAAAGAATTTAATTAGGTAGGATATTTTATAGACAAAATTTGATAGAGGTCTGGGCCATGAACAATTTGTAAGCCCAAAATAGGGGATGGTTAACCAAAGTTGAAAATTAAATAAAACTATAGTTTAGAATGGCAGTGGCATAGGTATGTAATTTGTGCAACTCTTAGGGCTATTTTCTATTTGTACTTCTGCCTTAATAGTTTAGATATGTTCCCCTTGTTTAAAATTATATAGATATTTAATTTTTCAGACCCTTTAAAACATACATGAAATCTAATTACAAACCAAGTACATATCCACCCAACCCGGTTTCCATGATCTTTGTATATCGTCTTACAAGACCATAGATGGAAGAGGACAACATATCAAGATCACATGGTAAGGGATAAGACTTGAGGAATGTGAATACATTATCACTTGTAAATTTGGAGTTTGAAGGTGGTAGATGCCATGATGTTGATTACAATCAGATCAAGCCAAAGACAAGACACATATGGATTGATAGGTTTCGCCTGCGTGACTACAAATATGATGGGCTTATTCATGTACCTGACAAAGCACTGCTTTAACTGGGAAGTTTCCTGCTGCAACTGATCCAAGATATAATGAGTTCATCTCTGCTCATTCCACGACCTGATCATGCTTTCTTGTTTATTTCTTTAGTCTATGAAACTTATGACTTTTGTTTAGTTGTTTCTTTTGAAGCTTTTGGCGTTTGTATATATTTTGAATTTTAAAATTAATTAGTGTTTTCTAATTTACAATTTGTGCATTATACAAACCTGAAGAATCTCAATTCTAAAATTGTGAATCCAGAGAAACAAAAAGTTGAGTCGCCAAATGATCGCCAAAAATTACGAATTTGTAGTCGCCAAATAGTCGCCCCATTTTACGACTAAATAGCGACTGCTTGAAAAAGTAGTCGCCAATCGGTCGCCATATTTAACGACTAAATAGCGACTAATAAATCAATGTGGTCGTTAAAGAGTCGCCCAATTAGTGACTACAATGTGACTAACGTGCTGACTGATTAACGACTTCTCTTTGTCGTCGAACACTAGACATAAAACAGTCGGCGTGTAGTCGTAATATATTATGACTATTCAACGACCATTCGCCGACTAAAAATGTTAGTAGTAAGAGAGTTGTAATTCAGTCGTTATTTAGCGACTAAGTTCCGACTAATATATTTATCGACGCGTTGATTGGCGAACATGCATTGTAGTCGCTATTCAGTCGTAAAACGTCATTTGCGACCGATCAGTCGCTAACTACTTGTTTTCTTGCAGTGACTGTTTCTAGGTCAGATTAGACTATTTATCTTGATGTTCAAGCTACCCTTATATTTCTTGATTTTCAAACTAAACCTTGTCTGTTGCTTAGTTTTGCTTTCTTGTTATTGATTTTAGTTTGATTTATTTATCTAATTTAAATTTAATGATTACAAAACATAATTATCAATAAAAGAGAGACAACAGTAGAAAATCAACACTTCTTCTTACACATACGTATCTCATATTTTTTCTTCATTCTTCTTTTTTACTTTATTATATTTTTATTATTCTTTTCTAATGAATTTTTTTTGAGAAAAAACCACTAATCATGCTCTAAATAGAGCTTAAACAGTGTCTTTCATCGGAATTTCACTTTTCAAACAATTGACTACTGATCCACCACCTTTTGTTCGCATATGATACCTCTTTTTTAAGGCTGATCAGATTGTTGTGTTGTAATGAATACCCTCAAGATTTACGAAGCAGCGATGGATCAGACCATAAATTTAATTTCAAGAATTATAGAGACCAAGACCATAACTAAGCAATTTATTCGGATATACGCACATTCATATAACTAAAACGCCACACGGCCGGTCGATGTATCAACGTCCGTTTCTATCGTAATTCATTTATACAAAAGCGATGTAGACCACGTACGTAAATGTACCAAATGGAGCATCATCACTCCTCTTTTGTCTTTATTGTTGGCCCGATGCGAATATAAAAGAAGAGTGATATACATATATATATAAAACATGCATGCGTCAGGGAGAGATCGTTTTCATGAGATTCATATTTATTTAGACAATTATACGGTTCTTAAATTAATTAAGATGTAACGACCATCGTGATCAGTCGTCGGATTTTTTAGATGAGTCTGAGTTTATCTTCTGGATCATCTGTTTTAGCTCTTCCTCTGACATTTTCTCTTTTTTGCTTCGCTTCTCCACATACGCCTTGAAAAATTCACTGTTCTCTTTCTCCAGCTCCTTCCAAACTGTAAAAAAAAAAAAAATCAATTTATTATGGGAACTAGTTTTTGTTAAGTGTAGCTTCTATGTTACTAGTCTATCACTAATAGTTAGATTATGCATGAACACATACAAAACATCCGAAGCTCGATCGATCATCTATAAAATCATATTGTAAGATCAAATTCTACGTGATGGTATAGTTAGTATATATGGATATGTCTTTTTTTTTTTCTTTTTTTTTTTTTTATATGGATATGTCTATAATACATATAGATACACATTATCCCGTTAGATAGTAGATATGTATATGTAAATAAATATTTGTGATTTGTGTCTAAGAATTATAAGAAGATAAATGTATAAAAAGAGGAGAGAGAGAGAGAGAGAAGAAACCAGTTGCGATGATGACAGGATTGATTTTTGCATGCTTAGAGAGAGCTTCCACACACTCTTCTTTGCTCATGTTGAAGACCAAACATTTTTCAATCATGTAATGCACCTATATATATTATACATAGATAAACACGTGATCCATAGATATTGAGGTTAAACAAAAGAGAAAAAAACACTCATTGGATCGACGAAGAAGAGTCATAGAATTCTTGAATCATATAAACAAATTACCATGCGAATCTCAGTGGCAACTGAAGAAGGACCAGCCATTTGAGTTTGGGGTGAGGTTTGAATGTTTTGATGATAATAATGAAAAAAGTTTTCTTGGGTTGGGTAAATTATAAAGAGGAGGTAGATAGCAAAAGTTAGGTTACGAATACAATTAAGTGTTAGTTAGCATGTGGCGTTAAGCTCTACTGTCCCTTTAATATTTGAATGGAAGATTTATGTTGGTCAAAACTTTGGAGCTCGTTTTACACGGGCCTGGTTTATAATAATGCGGTTTAACTGTAACCAATTAGTTTATGTTTTATTAGTTTTGTAAAATAAGAGTAAAATGTTCCCCTTGTTTAAATTTTTATAGATATTTAATTTTTCAGACCCATTAAAACACACATGAAATCTAATTACAAACCAAGTACATATCCACCCAACCCGGTTTCCATGATCTTTTGTATATCGTCTTACAAGACCACTAGGTGATTTTCCCGTGCTTATGCACGGGTATAAATATTTATTAAGTAAATATACTATAATAATTGATTACTATTTACTTTTAATTTTCAATTAATTTATAATTTGCATACATGATTTATATTAATAATATTATTTTACTTTAATTAGACATATTATTTTAGAAATATTATATCTAGTCAATTTTATTATTTTATAGTCGATTTTACTGTTATTATTTGNATAAATATTTATTAAGTAAATATACTATAATAATTGATTACTATTTACTTTTAATTTTCAATTAATTTATAATTTGCATACATGATTTATATTAATAATATTATTTTACTTTAATTAGACATATTATTTTAGAAATATTATATCTAGTCAATTTTATTATTTTATAGTCGATTTTACTGTTATTATTTGGGTATATTAGATTACATTCTTTTATCTGAATTCAACTATAATATTTTTTATTCTAAATATATTAAATTTTGATTAATTCTATTATTTTTTTAGGTTGTTTGCTGTCTCAAATGTCAATATATTTTAGAAAAGTTATTTATAACTTAAGATATATTATGCCTATAATGAAATATAATAATTTTGATTTCAAATTACATCAATCGATATAAAGATAATCTTTGAAGTCTCATGCATATATATAAATTTCACAAAATAAATCAAATTAAATTAATATTATTTATCATTTAAATGTGCACGTATTTTCATAATATTTATCAAGTTATATGTTTCTTTAAACTATAGTAGAAAATAAAGTAATAATCAGTAGGAAGTTACATATTTAAGTAACTCATATAATTTTGGAGATTCATGAACACATATCAATATTTACAATAACTAAAATATTTTATAAATTCTAAATAATTTTATATCTTAGATTTATTGAATGATAAACTGAAATTATTTTAAATAATCTTAAAAATGAGAATTCGGATTTGCTTTGGTAATTTTATTATGGTTATATTATACACAAACATAAAAAAAATTTTAAAAAAATAAAGAAACATATAATTTAAATAATGATAGAATATAACATATCTATGTCATTAAAGTATGTAGTGGTATGATATTTTAAAATATTTAGTAATTATTTCATTAAAATATGTTTATTGTTAAAAAAATATTTTAATTTCTCTTAAAAATAAGCGGTAAAAATTGTGGTTGTATTTGAGAAATCATATTTTATAAGGAAAATTTAATTTATAGATATTTTTTTTGCTTTAGTTGAAAGATACTATAGTCAACTAAATATATGAAAATAAATAAAATATTCAATAATTTTAATTAAAAACTATTTTAGTTAATAAAAAAATATACTTGTTTATGTTACTTAAAATTATGTTTAAAAGTAATTTTTTTTTTCAAATATCAAAATTATATGTGTGAATTTTTTTTTATGAAATCACATTATATAAAAAAAAATATTTTTTCATATAAAACATACAGATATAAAAAAAGTTTTATTAATTAAAAATACATTTTATGTTATTTAAAATATTTTTAATGGATGTTACTATTTTTTTAATTTTCCCTTTTATTGAAATCATATTATATAAACATATATTTTCATTTTTAATTTTTTCTTTTAAATTTTCTAGATGTTTTTTCTATTATAAATTTTAGTTGGGAATTTTTAAAAAAGGAAACTAAATACAAAATTAATAATACTATTTTACTATTTTCATAGTATATTACTATTTTGTGAACTTTCCTTTTTAATGAAATCATATTATATAAACATATATTTTCGTTTTTAAATTTAATATTTTTTTTCTTTATTATTATAAAAGTTATTTGGAATGTTTTAAAAAGGAAACTAAACATAAAATTAATAATATTATTTAAATATACTATTTAAATATATTCATCAAGGGTATCATAGTAATCAACCGGTGTAAGAGTTAACGTGAGCGCGCCACATAGGAAAGTGACTTCTCAAATAATATTATAGAGATAGATGGAAGAGGACAACATATCAAGATCACAGGGTAAGGGATAAGACTTGAGGAATGTGAACACATGTAAATTTGGAGTTTGAAGGTGGTCGATGCCATGATGTTGATTACAGTACATTCATATCAAGCCAAAGTCAAGACTCAAGACACATATGGATAGGTTTATTCATATACTAAACAAAGGACTGTTATCACTATTCCTAGGTCAAATTAGACTATTATCTTGATGTTCAAGCTACCCTTGTATTTCTTGAATTCAAGCTAACCTTTGTCTGTTGCTTAGTTTTGCTTTCTTGTTATTTTGTTTGGTTTTGCAGATGTTACTTCGCACAACATGACAAGACGATGCTGATTCGAGCAGATCCTTCTCTTGTCTAATATTCCCTGAATCATACTCCCTCCATTCTACCCCCTCCATTCTATTCATTATGTTTCATAATAAGTGTCACTTTAGCTTTTTAATTTTGTTTCAAAAAATGTTATTCTACAATTCTAATGTAATTTTGTACATTAAATCTATTTTTACGCTTTTGAATAACCAATAATATTTTACTTAAATTATTTTTATTTAATTAAACATACATTAAATAAAGATATATTAGACTATTATACAACTTTCTTAATTCATGTACAAAGTGTCAAAGTGACACTTATTTTGAAACAGAAGGAATATAATAGAAGATGTTTTAGCAATAATAGTGTTCCAAAATCTAAGATTTTTTTGTTACTTTTAAGACAACTTTATTAAAGATTTGATTAACCAATAATATTAAACTACATCATTTATGATTGGTTGATTTATTTTAAATTTGTATTATCAATAACAGTATCATTAAAAAAAATAAGTTTCTTAATTCATTTGCCTTAACCAAAACATCTTTGATTATGGAAATGAGGGAGTATTCATTACAAGAGTAATTAGCTTGGGTTACAAGATACTACTCCTCTCTTTATAAAACGTTTCAAATACTGCAAATAAACCTCATTGTTGTTTTTCATCTTCATTTTCTATTGTTTACAAACACACAATGCAAACACAAAAGTCTCTCATCCTGAAACACAACAAAACGAGTCTCTCACCCTAAAACACGTCCAAGTGATAACCATGATGTAGAGGAAGAAGATGAAGTCGAAGAAACAGAAGATGAAGAAAGTATTGGTGTACCATGGAACAGATCAGAGATGTAATTCTCCAAGTTATCCGGCTTGAACCTCACAAGCATCTCAATGTTCTTCTCTTGACCTAGCATTGGTAAGTACTTCCTGTAAAACTCTCTATATTGCGATACAATCTTCCTCGCTATTGAAACCTTCAGCTCATCCCTAAGCTTAGAATCTGGCACAACTCGTGATGATTGTTTCATATATGCTTCCTCAAACGCCGTGTGGAAACTTCTGAAATACATTTTAGCCTCCTCTGGTGATAGGTCTGTTGGTTCTTCAGGTAATGACATGTATACATAGGACCATGCTGATATCTCATAGTTTGCCATGTAAGCGCTGAGTTTATCGTCGTGTTTAGTGATCCAATCTTCTCCAAGGAGATCTCTCAGGTTAGAAGATGAACTTACCGTTTCAAGGATGAAGTAAAGGTTGTTTGCAATGAAGAGGTAAGATAGTGAAACATCTTTGTAGTGTTCTGCTTTGGTGTCTAGCTTGCATAGCAAGACAAGTATGAGCCAAGCGAAATGGACTGATAGGGCATGACTGTGCTCTTCATCTTCTAACGTTGTGACGTAAGACTCAAGTAACCTGGAGTTTCTTGGTAATGGATGTTCTGCAAGGATTTCAGACAAGACAGATCTGTGTTCAGACAAGGAAGAGATGAAACTCATTGTTGATCTTGTCAGCTTATGAATCCCTCCTCCAGGTGTAGGAGTTTTGGATGAATCCTTATGAACCGTTGATTCAAAGTCAGTGAGAGCACTGTGGATTGAAACCTTTAGCTTCTCAATGGACGTGAGCGCTTGAGACTTTACATCAGCTACTGAATCAAAGTGGAAGATCATCTCTATGTCTGTCCAGAGATCAGAGATGGCAGCCATGAGATCCATTAAAGAGAAGATCCTCTCATGAGACTTCTTCTCCTTGGCTACAAACTCAGGGAACTTGAATAGGTTAGTAGCTGCTTCGTTTGCTATCTCATAGAAGCAAGACTCTCTAGTTGAGTTGGAAGCAGAGAAGACATGATCACAAAGAAGCTTCTCTCCACGGAAGAGAGTTGTGACACCAATCTTGGCAGCTTTGATCCAGTTCTTGATCATATGCTCAAGGGTGACCCAGTCTGTTCTGTGAAACCTAGAGCCTTTGTATGCTTCTATCCCAAGTAAACTCAGCCCTTCATCTACTATAGATTTTCTGATCCTCTTGTAGATCTTTATACACTCTTTACCGTATCCGCAGCTGATCATACACTCTGCTATAGCCTTTAGGTCAGACATGACCACAGCTGAAGCTTTTTCAACTTTAGTGATGGAGTTTCCAGCTTTCTTCATCTCAAAGTCATCTTCATCATCAAAATCATCTTCAAACTCTGAGTTGGTTGACGTTGAGGATTGACCGGAGACTGATTCAGGATCAAGCTTGTCTCTGTTGGAAGATAATATCTGGAAGAACTCCTTTTCTAGTCTTGTCATGGCGATTTGCATTAGGGTTTGCGCAAGAGCAAGCTGTGGAGTTTGAGAGTCTTGAGAGACAAGGAAGTGCATAGCCTTACGCAAGTCACGGACGCATCTGATGAACTCTTTGGCTTCTTTTCTGCTGTGATTGAAAAGAGAGACGATCTTGGTGAAGGAAGGCGTGTTTGGATCCCATTTCTTGATGATGACCTCTGCTTTCTCTATGGCGTCCTCCATGGTGGACTGAGTAAAGACATGGTGCAGAGGAGAAGGTGGGTAGGATGAGAAGGATGAAGGAGATGAAGGATGAAACTTGGGAGATGAGGAAGAGAAGAAGGAAAACTTTGACTTTTTCTCCATTGAAGAAGATAGATTCTCTGCTCTGTTATCTTCTTCTTGAATGTTTTGATGGTGTTAACTTGGCTTCTACTCTTTCTATTTTATGAGATGGGTTTTTAACAATTATATAGAGAGAGATTGGTCGTGAGCTTACCTGTGAATGTAGACCTAGACCAAAGAGAACCATTGACTTGGATGTATTAGTAAAGACTTAATTTGATAGTATATACTTAGATTAGTTCATTACATGACAGGTTAAAAGTTATGAAAAGGTTTTTGCTTAACACGTCTAGGACTAAGAGTATTTGACTATTTCATCAGTCAGATTAGAATTAATATCTTGTAATTAATATTTAAATTGTGTAATTGACTTTTAATTTCATCACTCGTTGTCTTGATAAGTAAATTATATTCCTGTTTTTGAGAAAAAAATTATATTCATTGATCTTTTTTTAATGTGAAAATAGAGGTGTTCGAGTATACTATTACCTACGGGTAGGGGTGGACAGAGATCGAATAATACTATGATATTCTGATTTATTTTGCTTCAGAAAAATACAGATATCCGATATTTACGAATATTTATGGCTCATCTACTTTATTTAATACATGTAAATCTAGAAAAAATTAACCTATATAAATTTGTTTTTGGATAATATCATTTACATAATATAAAATAAATAGTAAAAATTAATGAAACTATATTTTTCATAAATTTTTATAATTAAATATTTTTTTGTTAAAACACAAAAATGCAGTTTTTATAAAGCTTTTAATTTATTTCTTACTTTATTACTTTATAAGTATTTTATAAATAAAATTACTAAAAATTCTAAGTTTGAATAATAATTGTATAAAATCATACATTTGAACTCTATATTTAATTGTAAATATAAATCTATTTGTTTTAAATCGGAGCGGATCCGATATCCACCTCTAATAATTTTGGTATATGTGATTTACTTTGTTTTTAATGTATATTAATTTTTATTATTTACTCTGATTCAAAGATTTACGAAAATTCATATTTTTCGGATCCAATAAAAATGAACATTAAAAAGAATCAAATTTATTAGATAAAATGTCCACCCCTACCTACAGGTTTGAACAACTCCAGATTCAGATTTAGTTATTTGGGTTTTGCTAATAAAGAATGTTCTTATCACTCTCTTTTATAATGCGTGTCTGCATTTCATTTGTCTTTCTATCAACATCTGCATTTGTTTCTTGGTCAACATATGCATTTCAGTTAATAAATTATTTTTCGTTAAAGTTGTTAACGTGCCCTTGTGGTTAACAACTTAACATTTATCGTTATTGTGGGTTGTATATCAAACGGTTTAAGAGCCTTCAAATTTTTGGTTTCGTCTAATATAAAATTGTTTCCCCCAATATTTTCTTCTAGGAAGGATTAAAACCAAAAAGAATACCGAATAGTTTCGAAGTCGATTCAAATATCAAATTATTGGTAGCTCAAACATTTACATTTGGCTTATTAGCTTAAACTTTCATTTTCAAGTTGGCATGCTATATGTATGTACACACATGATACATATAATCTTACGTTTTTAAAACTCTTTTCTTACGTCAGTTTCATTAGAAATGTCTTATCTGTAATAACATTAATAATCTTTGCAATCAAACGACCTTTGCAATGTTGAAAACTGTAGTTTTCTAAACTTTGCCTTTGAATTGAATTGGTACATTCCTGTCAAAAACTGTACGTATGTTTACAAGTTAAATATGCTATCAAACCAATTCCGTTTAGACTTTAGACAATGTAATTAAGTTCCAAATTTTTAGCAAAAAAAAAGACAATATAATTAAGTTATTCAAAGGCAGTCAATTCACATAATTGTATTCATTTCATCATAAAAATAACTATTTGAATAGTCTTTCAAACTACCTGTTTGTTTCCAATACTCTTATTTCTTCTCTTCTTCTTTCTTTTGTTCGTATATATTCGTTGATTTTGTTTAATCCATTTATTATTATCAAAACTAATCTGATTATCGTAATTTTCTTCTTTTATTTTGGCAGAAAGAAAAGGTTAATTATCTTCTAGAGAAACTTAGTAAGTAACCGTTGTAAGAATTAAGAATCTTGTGATTCAAGAGATCATCTCTAGGACTTGCGTAATCTAGGTCAGACTATTCTGTTTTCTCGAAAAAAGAAACAAGTTATCATCGTATATTTGAAACTATTAACCTGTTCTTTGACCAAAAGAAGATCACTCAAAAGAACCGTAATAATTATGTATACCAACTTGACCAGTTCGTGCATATTTTTCATATCTATTATATATGAAAAGACATTAGCATGTTATGTGTCTTGACAGTTTGTAATAAAAAGTCAAATATACGCACTCGACAAAATGTGATACAAAGATATACCCCGACTCGCTGGCATTTTCCAGCCATGCCTTAAAGAACAAAATCGAGATTCGCTAGCCAAAGTCAATTGTGTTTACATTCCAACCAATTTGGTTTCAACGACTGGATGTGTTGTGTATATGAGTTGGCTAAATCATTGCATGAGCATTATAGCTTAATCTACTTTCTCTTACGACTTATAAACTATGGATAGTCTTACCTTTCGCATCTGGTCTGATTGGTTCGACTACGAATCAAAAGCAATTCGGTAACTAGTCGAGTTGTCTTTTTTTTTTTGTAAATTGAACATTCAAGAAACAAAGCAATCGATTACTTAATTACATACTCACATTTTTGTAAATTCAACAATAATTCTTGTTGTGAAGAAAAAACATACATAGTCCCTAGTTTTAACCCATGACGTCTTCGATCGCTTTCTCAAGTCAGAAAAAAAAAGCCCTATATTGTTTTAGTGGAAATGAGCTAAATTAAATTGAAAGGTTTGGGCTATTATAATTTTCCTTAGTTTGTGAGTCTGTTATTTAAATGGGCCTTATGTTATATAGATGGACCATATGTTATAATGGGGTTTAGCATCTTGATTCAACACTAGGCCAAGATAAGTTTCTTAATTCATGATTAACTCATGTTTTGACACATTTTTGTTTTTGTTTTGTTTTTCTACATTTTTTTACTATGAACTATCTTTTAAATAAGAGTTTTAAAAAACGATTCTTAATTTTTCTTAGTTAAAGTTAAAAAATGATTTTTATATTTCGTTAAGAATTTCACCTAAGAACCCTACAATACTGATGTCTTTTTCACGTGCCAATACCTCCAATGCTCAAGTATTCCGTTACTATTGTATAAACCATAAATAAAAAATTTCAAAACCTAAATAACGGAAAAATGTTCTTAAAAATTGTTTGTTTAAATGTAATCCTAACAACCAAATGATTTAGGTTGGTCGTTTTGATGAGGAATGGATTTTGTCTTATATAATTTTTCTTAACTGCAATTTTCAAGATAATATATACTAAATAATGATGGATCATGGAGATTTAAAAATCTCATTTAATACGTCTAAGAATTTGAAGTTTTTTTTTTTATAATACTGATAACATGAATTGTTCGAAATGATACAAATTAAGGTACATAAAAGAAAGATGGAGATGTCATTAGACATCGAAACAAAAGTGAAAAGGTCTTCACCCAACCCCTTATTGCTGAGCCTCCAAAGCGAGTAAATGATGTAGCCACGCGGGAGCATTTAGGGCGATGTATAATTGGTGACAGTTATCGCGAGTGACACTTATAGCAATTGAGTCGGCATCTTTAATTTGAAGTTAAAGTGAGATATTTTAAGATTGTAGCAACAAGATACACAAAAAAACAGTTTTGTATATATCCATTAATATTACGTGTTGTTTCCATCAATTTGAATATTTTCACGATTATTTATCGATCTATTTGCAGTTGAAAAAAATTATCGACCTATTTTTTAAAGTACAGTTGGTTATTTTCTATATTTGTTGAATTCAACCGGAGGTCAAATCGTATAGGTAATTAGTTGGACTAGTTAGTTAATTAAGATGGAAAGAAATATTAAAATTAGTTGGTAAATCCCAAAAGGAACTGCTGACGTCATCCAAAATTAGTCTCCAAAGCCTAAAAGCAGAGTTAAATCCTAATTAGCCTAAAATCTAAAAAATTCTGTCATTCTCTCATCATCGCTGTCCTCTTATCCCCTTTTCTTGTTCTGGTAACAAATCTCTTAAACCGTGACTATCGTCTTCTTTAAATTGAAACAAAATCCAGTTATCTCCTGCTCCTTACCAAAGAAACAAAAACAGAACACAATGGTTAAGTACGAAGAGGTTTGTCTTGTGTGTGTCTCTCTCTCTCGTCAATTATGAATTAGCTCTTTTATATGCATTCTCTACGTGTAGAAACAAGTTTAACTATGCATTATACAAAGCGTTAGTAACTGATATTTGCATTTACGTTTTTTTGTTTTTGTTATTGTTGTTGTTAGGATTATGTGTTGAATTCACGAGGGAAGAAGCTCTTCACGTGTTCATGGAAACCAGAAGAGCAACAAGAACCTAAGGCTATGATCTTTTTATGCCACGGCTACGGAATGGAATCAAGCATCACCATGAACAGTTCCGTTCCTTTCAAACTATGATTAAACCATCATCAATATTCATATTCAGTCAATACATTACAAATTAATATGTTAAATAAAGCTATGATGTTAACCAGGCACGGCAATAAGGTTGGTGAACGCAGGGTTTGTGGTCTACGGAATAGACTATGAAGGTCACGGTAAATCCGGGGGATTAAATGGTTACATTCAAAACTTTAATCATCTTGTTGATGACGTCTCTTCTCATTTCTCTTCAATTTGTGGTAATTTATTTATATATTAGATAATATGATATCTCTATTAATTTTCTACAAATTGAATAAATGGTAAAATAATTTGTATGTTTTGGGAATGGTGAATGTGAAGAGAAGGAAGAGAATAAAGGGAAGATGAGGTTTCTGATGGGAGAATCCATGGGAGGAGCAGTCGTTTTACTATTAGCGAGAAAGAAGCCTGAGTTTTGGGACGGTGCCGTTTTAGTCGCTCCCATGTGTAAGGTATGTGTTTATCATGTATGCTCCATATCTTTTGTTGGTTATTATAGTTTATCGTTTAAGAGTTTAAATAAAAAATCTCATATAATATTATGCATATTTTGTAGAATTAAGATACTTTTCTTACTTTTTGTAAAGAATCTTATCTTTCATATTTAGTAGCAAGAAAAATGAATATAAATCACTTAGAGCATCTCCATTAGTGAACCCCCATTGGGGTTCACCAGGTGGCTTTTTTTTTTTTTTTTTTTTNAAAAAAAAAAAAAAAAAAAAATTTTCGACGAATCATGGTTCGCCACGTGGTGAACCCGTGATGAATCAGTATCACCGCAGCAAGCTCAAGTGGAGCGGGTTCATCACTGTTTGTCTCGTAAACCGTGTGAACCCCTCCCTTGAACCCCTCTTAAACTCCTAATGGAGATGGTCTTATACCCGGCTTTTTCAACAAGAGGATCAACATCTTAATAGTTTAACAGAAGACCTAAATAGTTCTAGACCAAATGTACAACTTATAAACACGTTTAAAGATGCATATAACAATGACTTTGTTCTTTATTTTTGGTGTACAGCTAGCAGAAGAGATAAAGCCACATCCTATGGTGATCAAGTTTCTCACAAAGCTAACTCGAGTCATTCCAACTTGGAAGATAGTTCCTAGCAACGATATAATTGACGTTGCATTTAAAGAATCCCACATAAGAAAACAGGTAACATATTGATTGTCATCCTTTTATGTAACACAACTTTAGATGAATATTTCTTTATCGTATAAACTTTTTTTTTTATTTGTTTTGAAGGTTAGGGAAAATGAGTATTGCTACAAGGGCCGGCCTCGCTTGAAAACTGCTCATCAACTCTTAACAACTAGCTTGGATCTTGAGAAGAATCTTCATCAGGTTCTTCACTTTTTTTTTCTTTAACTTGTTACCGATCTCCTTGATAATAATCCAGAAAATTGATGTATTAACATTAATAAAATTTGGAATTTAAACAGGTAGAGATGCCATTTATTGTCCTTCACGGAGAAGATGATAAAGTTACAGACAAAGACGTAAGCAAGCTACTATACGAGGTGTCTTCAAGTTCCGACAAGACTTTCAAGTTATACCCGAATATGTGGCATGGACTTCTATACGGAGAATCTCCTCAGAATTTGGAGATTGTGTTTGGTGATATCATTGGATGGCTAAACGAGAGAGCTACAAACCAAAGGATAGAGCCTGAGTTAAAGCATTTATAGATCATGGTTTTTCCATACATAAATAATTCATGTGACAATACAATAATTCATTGCAACACAGTACCATACAAGCACCAAAATTTATCAAAAAAATAAACACAGTACCATACAATACACCCATGATGTTTGCCAAAGTTCTCATACAAAAGAAAGTCTCTTTCACTTGAAACCCGTATTGGTTTTGGGAACTCAAAGGCTTTGAATGATTAATTGCACCAGATCAGATGAACTAATCCATTTGAAAATTGGATCGCTTCTTCTTGATTATGTCATAAAGTTATAGCATTCAGTGGCGCGAACATAAAAATAGTATAAATCCGTTGTGATGACTAAAAATCATTTCATTCATGTGCTAATCTGTAATGACCCGTACATAAATTCATTTTAACAAGAAACTAGGATAAGACCCGCGCTTTGAGCGGGATAAAAATATTATTTTATTATGTTTTTAAAAATGAAACAATAGTTCGGTTTCATTCGGATTATAGGTGTTCAATCCGGATATCGGGTTTCGGTTCGGCTCGATTTTTTGGTATTTCGATCATTAAAATATAACTACTATTCTAAATCTATATGTACTTCAGTTTGATTTGGTTTATATACCATCAGTTTTCAGTTTATTCAATTTTATACCAAAAACATAATTATTTAGTTTGAGATCATATTATATATTATACAAATATATAATATGATCATATTTAGAGTCATATTGTCACAGAATCATTTATTAAAAAATATTATATATTTAAATAAAAGAATAAAAAACAAAAAAAGTTTTATCATCTAATAAAATGATCAAATCTAGAATTAATATCAAAACACTAAATTTTGAAAATAAAAATAAAAAAACAAAACAGAAGCATGAAAGAAAAGTTTTTATATTCTTCCATATTTAGTGTTCATCAAACCAATATGTCTTCGATTGAACACAACTCTGTTTGTTTAAAGATAAAAAAAAGTTGTAAAGAATTTCAACTAATTGTTGTTCATCAAATTTATAATCTTTACTTCAATTTAGTTACTGTTAAAAAAACAAAAGATCAAAATAAGAAGTCCTAGTTGTAATAAATTGTTAGCTATTTACAAATTATAATTATAGTTCAACTCATGTAACAAATAGATATTCATACGTCGTTATAAATATATACATATTTACATGTTTTAGTTTAATCGATTATAAATCAAACCATATCCAAATCCTATGGTTTTTTTTAAATCACATCTATTCGGTTTGTATGGTATATACCAAAAATAACCATATTATCGATTGTTAATATCTTTTAAAAATATAAAATTAAAAAAGAACTAAGATATTTAAATCATTGATAACAAAAAAATTTCAATGTGAAAAATTTAATAAGTTTATAATTTATAAATGTTCTTGAAAATTTATTGAAAATTTTGAAATTAAAATATTTATGTAATCTTATATGGTATATAGTTTAATCTATATATATATATATATATATATATATATATATATATATATATATATATATATATATATATATATATATATATATTTGTTTTATTATTGAATGATACTTTTTACTTATATGGTTTTAAAATCATGTATATCTTTTTATAGTAAAATGTTAAACTATGGATCATTAATTTTTAACATGATAATTTTAATAGTTTAGTTATTTATTCTCGTTTCTTAAAATTCAAAATATAACCTATTCGAAAAAATATAAAGTTTAATTTTATAGTTAATTTGATTGTTTAATTTATTTTAATAATATAAAATTAAAGAAAGATGATGGAGGATATATAAACTGTTATCAAATATTTATTATTAGAATCATTAAGTGTCATATATATATATATTAGTCATTTATAGTAATTCCGTAGGTTTTAGTTATGGAAATAAAATAAAATAGTAATTATATCTTAGGGAACAATCATTAAGTGTCATATATATATATTAGTCATTTATGGTAATTCCGTAGGTTTTATTTATGGAAAGAAAATAGCATATCATATCATTATATCATATAGTTTGACTAACTAATGTATCTAGCAACCTATAAAAATCCAATGTGGACTTACTTATTTTTNAAGTGTCATATATATATATTAGTCATTTATGGTAATTCCGTAGGTTTTATTTATGGAAAGAAAATAGCATATCATATCATTATATCATATAGTTTGACTAACTAATGTATCTAGCAACCTATAAAAATCCAATGTGGACTTACTTATTTTTCAATTGAATCTAATTGACTACCTAATTGAATGACACCTATGCATTGGGACCTCTTTTAATTAATACAAAATTGAGGTTACATCTTTTCAAATGTTCCTCAATTAATATATAGGGGATATATGCATAATTGCTCCAGAATATATATATATATATATATATATATATATATATATATATGCATATTAAATGTTTTAACAATAGATTCAAACCCTGGATTCATAACAAAAAAAGGGTCAGAATTTTGCAATTCACGTTTAATAGTGATTTTTTTTTATCTATTAATAATACCAATTTCAATTATATCAAAAGTTGTGAATTTCATCTAAGTGAAAAGTTATGTCTTTCTATCGCAAAGAAAACAAGATTTAAAAAATACTTAAGATGTCTTTCTATAATGAAATTGTTTTTAAAATAGTGTGTTTATTTAAATTTTAGTTACTTTTACAAATAGTTAATCTTTATATATTAAATCTGTTTGTTTGAAATGATGCGTCTATTCAAATATATAATGTGAATGTATGATTTAAAATAATTACCTATAATTATATAGTTGTGATTATTCATAAAAATAACTAAATTTAATTTAAAAAACTATGACTATTCACTATTTTTAATTTGAAAGTTGTGACTATTCATAAAAATGACTAATTTTAACTTGAAAGATTGTGACTATTCACTATCAATAATTTAAAAATTATGACTATTCATTTAAAATAACTAGTTTTAACTTGAAAAGTTGTAATCATTCGTATTGAACTTTGAAAATCTATAAATAGTATATGTCCATGAGTTTTTTCAAGTAAAAATTTCACTAATCTAGAAAAATAGTGAAGAATAAAAGTTCTTTCTAACAAACTATATTTCTGATTATCTTTATTCTATGTATACATAATTTGTGTCCTATAATTTCATACACTTATAAATTATATAAGAAAGGTTGATAGCGACACTTGGGTTACATCCGTTAAAATGACTATTCATGATGCAAGTTTACGGTTGGCATAATTAACGTTTTATGCATAAATTGATGATTTGCATGTATTTAGAAATTCTGATGTTTGATTAGAAAGTAAAGAATTATGTTGCTTAAACATAATACATTTGTTTAAGTGTACATTCATAATCGTGTATATAAGCACGACATCTAAAATTTGTGCATTCTGGCATTCAAGTTTTCAGGATTTTTTTTTCTTTTTGTAAATCTATAAATATTGTTTGTTATTAGTTTAATGTTCATTAGACTTTCACACATAAATGAACAAGTGCAATGATTGTATAGGAGCTTGAAATTTGTTTTTCTTTTGTTCTCGAAATTTGCTTAAATTTGTGAATGAAATTTTAATTATTTTTTTTTACAGTTTGCTCTTGTGTCTACTGTCTAGTAATGCTATTATTTGTAGTTCAACTTATTTAAAAAATGGGAACTGCTGCCTTGGTCTATTATGCTAAAGGTTTGACAGACAACCGTGTATTCTATTAGTTTCTGGATTCAATGGAGCCCAAACAAAAAAAAAAAGATTACGAAAATCAAAGTATAAATATTTTTTAATCAGCCGTTTAAAGTTTAAACCCAAATTCTTTTGATTTTCTCTGTTGATCCATTTTTAACCAATTAGGTTAAAATCAAAACGTTGTAAAAATTGTTTTGGCTTTCTAGGTGACAAGTACGGTCGACTTAACTTAGAACAGAGCAAGGTAAATTTTTCAAGCATGTGTAACATGAATGATGGTAGTTAAGTTAATTTCAAGAATGCTAATGAGATTAAGGTGACCAAGACCATAAATAAACAATTTATTTGGATACACACACATGCATGATACATTCATATAACTAAAAGAAACGCCACACGACTGAACAGTGTATGAGCGTCCGTTTCTATCATCATTATTTATGCAAAAAAGCAATATGGACCACGTACGTATAACGTACCAAAAGGAGCGTCATCACTCCTCTTTTGCCTTTCTCGTTGGACAGATGCGAATATATAGAAGAAAAGTGATACACATACACATATACATAAACATGCATGCGTCAGGGAGAAATCGTTTTCATGAGATTCACATATATAAACTATAATATATATATATATATATATAAGGTTCTTAATTAAGGTATATATCGAACATCGCGATCAGTCGTCGGAGTCTTTAGATGAATCCGAGATTATCTTCTGGATCATCTGGTTTGTCTCTTCCTCCGACATTTGCTCTTGTTTGCTTTGCCTCTCCTCATACGCCTTGAAGAATTCCTTGTTCTCTTTCTCCAGCTCTTTCCAAACTGTAAAAGAAAATAATTTTATTATGGGAAACTGATTTACTATTAAATTATTGCACAAAACCAACTCGAATATAAATAGGTTACAAACACTTATAGTATGTATATAAAACATCCGTAGATCGAAAATCATTATATTGCAAGGCTAGTTAATATATGTGGATATGTCTATAATTTATACAAACACATATAATCCCGCTAATAAGTACATATTTATTTGTAAATATGTGTGGCCGGTGTCTAAGGATAATAAGAAGATATAGAGCATAAGAAGTGAAGAGAGATAAGAGAGGAGTGAGAGAACGAGGGAAAAGAAAACCAGTAGAGGTGATGACAGGAGTGATGTTTGCATGCTTAGAGAGAGCTTCCACACACTCTTCTTTGCTCATGTGAAAGATCAAACATTTCTCAATCATATGCTGAACCTATACATACATAAACACATGATCCAAAGATATATAGAGGTTAAATAAAAGATAAAAAGAATCACTCATCACATGATCCAAGAAGAGTATGTAATTCTTGAATCGTATAAACATATTACCATATGAATGTAAGAAGCAGAAGAAGAACCAGCCATTAGTAAATAGAAACCCTAGAATCAACACTAAAACTCAAAATATAGCCTTCTCCAAAAGCCACTTGTGGAGATAAAGACATTCATATATAGAAGAAGATCACGCAAAGGAGAAGAAGACAAAAGAGTGAATAGTTGAAAGATGATATGCATGCATGGGCCAGACGCCCCACGTGGGAGATTGATCATAATTGGCTGGGAAAGGATTAGAGGAGATTTGTAAAATCACTCTTTCTCTCTACTCCCTTCGTTTTCTAATTTCCATCCCACGCTTTATCCACGTGATCCGTGGCCCTCTCTCTATACTACTTTTTGCAAACAAATGAAAACACTTAATCATATTCTAATTTCATACTCTTTTAGCAAGCTATATTTCTTCATTGTTAATGCTTCAATTTATAAAGGAGAAATCGAGAAAATACGCAATTTTAAAGTCGGTAAATAAATAAATGACTTGAGCTAGCAACCGTGTTCTTCTTTAGTATAAACGATAATGTGAAGTCTTGACACTTTTAACCATTTTCACAACATTAAAAAAAAAAAAATTTAACAAGGCTTCGATCAAAAAAGAAAATACTTAAGATTTTAATGCATAGCAACGGTGAGTACTATACCGTAGTGCGTTCGACTTCGATTTGATAACTGGTAGCTAATACGTGGAGGAATCAAAATCGATGAACAGAGACACATGTTTCAAGTTATTACATGTGGTGTTAAATATATTGACATGTGGTGTTACATATGGCGGTATATACACACAAACTATTGTATAATGAAGTATACAGTAATAAAATAGTTTATTGATAAGCTAAAGCGAGAGATATGAACTTGTAAAGATAGAGTTCATAAATATTTATATAATATATATGTTAGCTGTAACTACGAGCTAATACCATATATACATCAGTAAACTTTTGTTGTAGTTTGAAACTTTGAGTCATACAATAAGAACCAACGAATTACTGCACGAGAGTTACACCGAAACTATAAGGACTAAAGAAATTAAAAAACAGTGGTTCCATATTACAATGATGTATATAAGAAAATAAGATTGGTAAACCAACCACAAAAATTCTGCTCCATTTCACATCTAACATCAACCAAATATCGTTGTGAACTAACTTAATCTCATTTTTCGCCATGTACCTGTCATTTTATTATTTATAAACAACACCAACAAAATGTTATCGATCTAACCAATGGTGTGTAGTGTAGTGATCTTTTCACGTGTAAGCAGATTTACTATATGGGTCTAAAACCAAGGAACATATTCTATTTTATACAACAAAAAAGTCATCAAGATCTCTATATATTAATCAATTTTAGTTGTCTTACATACCAATAATATCCAGCTTTCTACATGTTTCATGAAGTAGTTGTGCTTTGATATAAGATCTATAATACTATAGTTACTATTCACAATCTAACCATATCTATATAATCGACACAAAAATGTCAACTAGGTTATAGTCCTCTAGATCACCAAGACATATGTAGTGTACGTTAGGATGATGAAAAACAAGTTTTCCTTTTTTTACGAGAAAAAAAAAAGCAAAGCGATCAATAGTTTTTTGGTTTGGGTAAGGGGACGCGGGAGATTTAAGTTTTTGATTCGAAACCAATGGGCTTTTGACATGTCACGCAAAACAATCTACATTGTGATCAAATAATCGCAATTGGCAGAACAAGCTGGGTGACATGGCGAAAATGGACATAACAGAGAGAATCTAACAAAGGTTACGTAAAGAAGACACAGACAAACACATTGAAGGGGTGTTTTTGTCGAAATCTAAGGTTTCAGAAGGATCCATCCAATTCAGTCATTTAATTTAACTACTGTACATATTCCTCATCATGTGGACCTCTCAATTTGAGTCCTGAAACAGCAACTATTCTCTCGAATCAAATTCAAAACCCTATTCATCACTTTCTCTCTCATTCCTTCTCATCAATAAGATTACAAACAAGACGCCTATTCTCTCTCATCCACTTATTTATTTTACCTAGATACTTCCTTATCCGGCTCTTGATATCATTTTCATTTGTATCCGTATGAATGAATTAATTAAAAAGAATCAGTAAATAGCTTAATAATTAGTTAGTGTTGGCTTGAACCCCTTAAAACATATACACAAACAAAAAAAAAACTAAGAGAAATAATCAAAAGGGTTTTAGGTTAATTTATCAGCTGAAACTAAAAGTAGCTTCACACTATTTTCTTTTGAAATCCAGTATATAGCGCGAGCTTTGCTTCTGAAGAGCATTCCTAATACATTATGAATTCAATATGAAGTTTCAATGTATAATATATATTATGATTATTATTATTATTATTAAAAATGAATGAAAATCATATAACCACTATAACTTCTTTTGGTGGTTATGTTTGTCATCTAGTGGTCGTAGGTGCTGAGTCTTATGAATTCATGTCCTCTTTTGTTTTCTACATAAACTCTTTGACAGAAAAATGTGTTAATTTTTTTTAATGTGTTGAAATTAAGCTTAAACGTTTATACATGTACCTCTTTTGAATCTTTATCGTTCGACTATTCTCGAGTCTCGAGGATGTAAATTTGGTAGAATTTCTGATGAAAAGCTATTTAATTAAGACGTACAAAAAATGAAATATCACTGGAGACGAGACAGCATAAATAGACAAGAGTTGCAGAAAGAGACAAAGGTGGTGGTGGTGCAGTAGAGTCAAATTATTGCCTTAATTTTCAAACCAAAAGCTCTTAAAAAGCAAACCCAAATTTGTCGCAAAGACAAGTGGAGATTCTATTGACCACAACCACCCACTTGATTTTTTTCTTCTAGGCCAATTGCAGTTCCAGAATTTTATATTGTTTTGTTTAAAGTGTACGATGTGATTAAATTTCATTACCCAATGAGAACATGCCGTGTCAGCTAAACGGAATAAGTCTCTTGTATTTTTTCCTTTGAGCCAAAACAAGCGAAAGACGTATCGATACCTTAGGTAGAGTTTCAATAATTCACTGGTGTCTCATTTTAAATATCTACTCTTCACACTTCTGAGTCTGATCAGCTATCTGGTTGTACCGATTATAGGTCACGAGTAACAATAAAGAAAGTATTTTTTTTTGGTAAATATAAAGAAAGTTTCCGTTCGATTAGATTGTATCAACCGTTTGAATTAGGCCTTCGGTTCGGGTATTTCAGATTTCGGATAGTTCGAATTGGGGGTTAGAGGATCCATTTACTACTTTAACCTATTTTCGGTTCTGTTCGGTACGAGTAGTTTTGGGTTCGGTTCCGTTAGGATGGTAAAACTAGGAATAATAAACTATCTAGAAAATTCAATTTTCATTTATTTCTGGTTCCGGTTTGGGTAATTCGGACAAATTATCAGTTATTTAGAATCAAAAATCAAATAATTAGAACGATTCAGTTACAAATTACAGATATTTCGAATTACTTTGGATATTTGGATAAAATTTTCCATATACTTTCAGATAGTTCAGATACGTTATAATTATTTAGTTATCTTCAACTATTTTTGGATATTTCTAATAGATTTTTAAATTAAAATCATATATTTAGTTATATTATATGTATATAAAATTAATATTGTTATATATTCGGGTACCCTTTCGGTTTTTGGTTTGGTTCCAATTCGGTTCAGTTATTTCGGATATATAAATATAAGAACCGTTCGGATATTTAAGGATTTTGGTTCAGTTCCGGTTTCGAATATTTCGATTCGGTTCTTCGGTTCCGATTTTTTTTCCCAGGTCTAGTTTGAATGATAATTTTTGGGTTCAAGTTCAAAATAGCAAATACTAAACGCTTAAGTTGGTTGAGATAATACGTACCAAACAACTAATATGAATTATAATTTTAGTTTCATCCTTTTTTTTTTCTTATTTATAATTACTCCATATGTACTAGTACTATATACACAAATTGTTCAAGCTACGAAACAAAACCTACGGCTCCACCCATATAGTGGATCCAACTTTACGTCCTGATTCGATCGTTGGACATATACTTAGGCAACTGTTACTATTTTGAAAGCTTTGGATTCCCAATCCTCTTTTCTTAGCATATTTCTATACCAAGATGAAATTTGGTTCACTTGTTGCCGCGAGATCAAAGGGATATCTAACAACTGATTCAGTTTTTAGTGACATAAACTATCTCATCTTTTTTTTCATTTTGACCATGTCCGGAATGACCCATTTACCATATCATGTTTACTACAAATCAGTTTCCTATTTGCTTTAGTGATCTTGAATATTCTCAACAACTTACTTATGGTTTGACTATGATCGATATGGCTTGTATAAACTCACCCGCACACCTCTCCTCGTGTCGTTTGCATGGGAATACCCTTCGGCTGTCTTTTGCATTCTTTAGCGTGCCACTTCCTCTTGAGCATTGCTTGCATGAGATCGAAATTATAAGAATTTCCAACATCAGAATGAACTGATATTCAGATGGATGGTGGATAATGAATGTATCAGCAACCAACCATGACATCATAAACATCAAGAATGCTAAACTTGTTCTTTATAGTTGTTAAAGCCGCCACTGCAAGTAAGAGTACGTATATTGATCGGAAGTTTTTCTTTGTCACGCTAGTTAGGGTTTCACCTCTCACTACTAACCATTTTTTGGTCCATAAACATTAACTAGTATTTAAAAACTTTACAGCCGTTGGAAAAAAACATTAAAAAAAAAACTTAAAGCCATAATCTTTGTGGAAGCAGGAATCCCCTTATTCTTCAAGTGATTTAACTGATGAGTTATTAATGATTCTATACGACAAGGTCTGAGTTTCAAGTTCTAATCTTCCAAAAAGACTAAATTATGCAGATTAATAGATAAAATAGTTATAAGAGATCTTCAACGACGAACTGTGGGCTCTACGTAACGACCATATGCTTAAACGAAGCCCAAGCCCAGCCCAACATAAGTATTCTACGTAACGACATCTCCCCTTCTTCCCACCAAATCTTCATCACCTTAAAAGAAGCTTCTTTTTCCACAGCCATGGTGATTGTCACCCACATCTCCCCTTCTTCCCACTAAATCTCCCCTTCCTTCTTCCATCTCCGCCTTCGAATCCCACCTGCTTCCTCCTCTCTCCCCAAACACTGCGACGGAGGAGGAGGATACGCCTTATCAGTCCGAGCTTACATAGAGAAACCAAACTCCATCTCCAGCTTTTCCAACACAGTCATTGGCTCCCTCCCCGTTATCGGACTCCTCGCCAGGATCCTCATCGATGAAGGCGGTGTCGGAAGAGATCTCGTTGACTTCGCTGAGTTTAGGAAACGAGTAGGGAATAAATGCGCTCCTAGTGATTCTAGAGCTTTCTACGAGTTCCAACAGCGAAGAGGCAAGGTAACTAGAGTTTTGATTATTTATAGTTGGTGTAACAGTTACAGTTATTACATATGGTTTATGTCGGAATATTGTATTCCCAGTGATTTTACACCGTTCAAGCAAATGTTTTTAGTAATTTTGTTTTTTTTTTTGTTTTTTTTTTCAGATAATGTATTGTTGAATTGTTGTGTTACATAAAGTTAATATTTTTTTCAATGTTGAATAAATTGTTAGCAGTGGTTAGTCCTTAGGATTATTGTTTAGATGGATGTCTAAACCAATTTTTTGAACATTTTAATTGATTTTTTTAAAAAATCGGTTTTAATTTCGTTTCAAACCCGATTTGCCAACTAGACGGACTCTTAGGCTTACCTAAACCAATTTTTAGAAAACTGTTTTTTTTTGTTGGGTGTTAATGTATTCCCTGTGATTTTACTCCAATAAAGGAAATGTTTTTAGCATTTTTTGTTGATTTTTTTCTTCAGATAATATATTGTTGAATTGTGGTGTTACATAAAGTTATTACCTTTTTTCTTGTTGAGTGTTAAAGTGTGATCAGTTCCTAAGTGGCTTATTTGGTATGCAGGAGAACCTTTGTATGTGCTTCTGTGCTGTTGGGTTGCTGCAGTAGGTGCAGGGCTTCTCAAATCCGAAGAGATCCTCGAAGGTGTTACAAGAGTTTCAAATGATCTCGAGTTCGAAGAACAGAACTTTATCGCTTTTATGACTGAAGCTAGACACTGACAGGTTTGGTTTAGTTTCTTACGAGTCTTATGTCATTTTGCTTCAGAAAAGTTGATACTTTTTATTGGTAAATGCAGAGAAGGGCGAAGTTGAACGTTGCAGCGCCAACGATCCTATGGAACTAAGAGTCGAAAAGGCTCTTGAAGGTATATATGCTTGTTGCTTCAGGAGGGGAGTTATAGAAGAGGAAGATGAGCAGCTTCTTCAAGTGATGCTAACTGCGGTTTTCCCATCGGTTGAGAGAGCTGAGATAGAGAGAATCATCAAAGAGAAGGCGATGAGAGTCGTTGAAGGAGGAGAAGAAGAGAATCTCATGGCTGAGCCGAAACGGCTGCCTAAAGAAGCTATTCAGATGCAAATGAAAGATCTTGAGTTCCTTCAACAACAAAACATAGAATCTTAACAATGGCTGGCTGAACATGTGTGTTACATTATTTAAAAACTAAGGAGTTCATTAGTCTCTAGGAGGATACTTGTGTTGTGTAGTAGTTTTGTGTAAGAAAATGATGTTGTAATGCAAAAAAGGTAACATTTAGAGAGTTAAGAGCATCTTTATCCCATAAGCAATTTTCACACTCTCTCTCTTCAAATTAAGCAACCCTCTCCTCCTAAACAACTCTCTAAGCAACATGGGATAAAGATGCTCTAAGAACATGTTTCCACCGAACTAACCGAAACATAATGATGATGACTACAAGGTTCTTGTAAGAATAGCCAACCTTGAACATCCTTGACAAGCACTCTTCACAGACATGGCACTGAATCTTCTTCTTCTTCTTCGCAACCTTTTGATATTCCTCTCTTTATCCATCATCATCACTTCCACCATTGAGGTCTGAGTTTCACTTTTTCTTTTGATTTGTTTGCTTAATAGCTTTACTTGTGATCTTCCTCGTCCTATTTGTATCTCTGTGTTTGATTCTTGAAATTTTTGAACTGTTTGTTTGAATTTCGAATCATTTAATAGAAAGAAAGCCCATTAATTCAACTAAGGCCCATAACGAAACGATATAAGGCCTTTTAGTCTTTTCATTTGCGCTAAATAAATAAATAAAAACCTCAAATCGAATCTAGGGTTTTCGTTTCGCCGCTCAGGTTCGTTTTATGGGTTTTGTATAACGTTGTTAACTGAGTATTGGGTTTAGCAGGTTTTGTGGAAAGGATCTAACTTTTGAGCAATGTCTCCAGCTAAAGGTACGACCTTTCCATGAATACATGCTCTGCTTTTGAATATAGTTAATTCCATAGGGATCAGCATCTTCTTATATTAGTCTACCAATCTCTCTTGCCTGCAACTACTTTGTTAAGATTCTACTTGGTAATAGCTCATCAACAACGTTAGAATCGTGAGGTGAAATGTGTATTGTACCATTAGCTTCTTGTTTGACACGTGTGTCGTTTCGTTGATCACATCTTCTCTTGTGCTTAACGTGACCACTATGTATGTATTGGACCTAATGATCTTATCATTAGCTGGTTAGCTTTCTTATATGAGAATATCCGATGGCTCTTAAAGTTGTTTTTGAACCTATCGTGTCAAAACTGCATTTGAACTAGTGTGTACTGTATATATTCTTGATTATGTCCTCTAATTAGTACAAATATTTATGAAAATGGCTAATAATGGTTATTCATTCGTTTATTATTTGCATTTGATTTACTTGTGCTTATATTATTGGTCTTTGTAAATCTAAGATCAGGTCTATGGTTTTACTTTTGAATTGCATTTGAATCGCAGATATGTAAAGATTCTGCCTAATCAAGCTTTTTAAATTAATTCAACTGTTGATTTCTATTTTTTTTTGTTGCAGTCGATGTTAATTTCTAAATTAATTCAACTGTTGATTTCTATTTTTTTCTAAATTAATTAAACTTAATTTCTATCTTGAACACTATGCTTTTTTCTATTATGCAATCTTCGCTTATGCTTAATGTGGCTATTTTCTATGTATGGGACATTTTTATCGTGTCATTAGCTGTGAGATGACTCATTATTCATGCAATTACTTTGTAATAGTTAATTAAAAAACGTTACAATCATGAGCTGAATTGTGTATGACTGTATGATAACCATTAGATTCTCACTTGATACTGTCGTCTTGATTATTGCATCTTCTCTTGTGCTTAATGTGACCATTTTCGATGTAGTAGATTTTTTTATCGTATTGTTAGCTGGTTTTAGATTGATATGAGATGACTCATATAGTTATTTTTTGTGCCTATCGTTGTGAAAACTGCATGTCAGCTAGTGTTTACTGTTGATGTTCTTGAATATATCATCTAACTAGTAGAATTAGAAAACTCTGTGGAAATGGTTAACAATTATTATAGATTCGTTTATAATTCGCATGTGAATGATAGAAATGTAGAGGTTCTGTCTTTAATGTTTTCAGAATTAATTCAACTCTCTATCTCTCCTTTTTTTTTGCAGTTGATGTTACTAAGAAGGCTGACCCAAAGGCCAAGGCCTTGAAAGCTGCAAAGGCCGTAAAATCAGGCCAAGTCATCAAGAAGAAGGCTAAGAAGATCAGAACAAAGGTGACATTCCACAGGCCAAAGACATTGACGAAGGCTAGAGACCCAAAGTACCCACGCATCAGTGCAACTCCAAGGAACAAGTTGGACCATTACGGTATCCTCAAGTACCCACTCACCACTGAGTCAGCGATGAAGAAGATCGAAGACAACAACACCTTGGTATTCATTGTTGACATCCGTGCTGACAAGAAGAAGATCAAAGATGCTGTCAAGAAAATGTATGACATTCAGACCAAGAAAGTCAACACCCTCATTAGGTACACCACACACACACTCTTGAAAGCAAATCTTTCAATGGAACGAAGAAGGCGTACGTGAGATTGACTCCTGATTACGATGCTTTGGATGTAGCTAACAAAATCGGAATCATCTAATCTTATTATCATCACATTTATATTTTGGAGTTTTAAAAACAGACGTCTTGTTTCTGTCATTCTTTTTTTTTTTTTTTTTTTGGGTCAAATTTCTGTCTTCTTTTAGTCTTGGTTTTGTTTGAGAATTTATGATACTACACGTCTCTTTGTTGTGCTTTATCGTTGGACTCCAAGATATGTTTCCGTACGTTATAATTTTATTGTTGTCTTGTTCCCTCTCTGGTACGGTTTAATCTGGTTAATTCGTACCGGTAAGTTAACCAACTTTAGATCTAATTAGACTTTCTGTATATGGTAATCACTAAAATCAGTAAAATCTTAATGTTGTATAGCTTTAAAAAGATCTCCGAGGTTTTTTTGTTCCAATTTCTACTGCAGCTTTCTAATCCCGGTTTAATCGTACCAAAACTTAATTATAAGTTGAGAAAATGGGCCACAGTGGAGCCCACACTCTATGCTTAAATAAAATACTTGAATAATTCACAGTAGAACCCATAGTGGAGCCCACACTCTATTCAATCAATTTGAACCCAGTCTTAGTAATTCAATCATTTTTTTTTTTGGTTCTAGCACGTTTTACAGAGTTATTAACAGTTTGACCACTCTATTTTCCTATCTGTCAACTACTTTACCACTTATTATGGAGAGTCCTATCTCTTACACTTTACTAATAAAATTCAGAAAATCTAATTATTTTATTGCTTAGACGAACCAGTTGGAGATAGCTTCTCAACCGAGCACACACAGAGAAACAATATGAGCAATCATCAAACTGTGAGTCATAACGATCGATAATGAGATTTCTTATCTTGAATTATGATTTGTGTTTCATCCTTTTTCATCATTTTAACTCTTAACAGATTGGTCTTATTATTCATATGTGTTCTGTCTTTTTGATCCGAAATTTATTTATTTATTCTTGTCTTAGAGAGAAAAGCAACTAGAGCCATGGTGTGAGCTTAAAGACAAGGTAGTTCTTCTAACAGGAGCTTCATCAGGTATAGGAAGAGAGATCTGTCTCGATCTAGCCAAATCAGGCTGCAAGATCATCGCAGCTGCACGTCGTCTCGACCGTCTCCACTCCCTCTGCTCCCAAATCAACACCTTCACCAAACTCGCAGCACCTCTCGAGCTAGACGTTTCATCAGACTCATCCACCATCCAAAACGCAGTCAAACAAGCCTGGTCCATCTTCGGACACATCGATGTCTTAATCAACAACGCAGGAATCAGAGGCAAAGTCAACTCAAGCCTCGACTTACCCGAACAAGAATGGGAAAAAGTCTTTAGAACAAACTTAACCGGACCTTGGTTAGTGTCAAAACACGTCTGCGTTTTAATGCGTGAAGCTAAACTTGGAGGTTCGGTGATAAACGTGTCGTCTATCTCGGGACTTGAACGTGGGAAGTTACCTGGTGGGTTGGCATACGCTTGTTCGAAAGGAGGGCTTGATATTATGACGAAGATGATGGCTGTTGAGTTGGGTAAGTATGGTATAAGAGTGAACTCTATAGCTCCGGGGCTGTTTAAGTCGGAGATCACGGAAGGTTTGATGGAGAAAGAGTGGATGAAGAATGTGACTGAGAGGATTGTGCCGTTGAAGGTGCAGCAGAGTGTGGATCCGGGGTTGACTTCGCTTGTTAGGTATCTTATTCATGATGCTTCGAGGTATGTGTCTGGGAATGTGTATATTGTTGATGCTGGTGCTACATTGTGTGGTCTGCCTATTTTTTCTTCTCTTTGAGACTTTAAAGGTTTGTGTGTTTGTGTAATAATAATAAATGAATAACATTTACATGTTTGAGCAAAACATAAAATGACCAAACCAAAGTTGATGTTTGTCAACTCAAAGAGAGATCTTGAAGGAATCTATTACAGTGTGCAGCCTATCTTTCATCTTCTCCCACCTCCTCTCATTAGTGCCAGTTGTCAATGTGTAGAACTTCTCTGCACAGCAACAGATAAAGCACTACTGAATCTTTTCAAAAAAAAAACTAAAACATTTCAGATGTATCAGTGTGGAGATGATAGATAGTTACCATTGAAAACAGTGAGTGTAGTTTCTAGGCTGAGCAGTGAACTCAAACTGATAATAAGTCTTCCCATAAACTTCATGCTGTAGTAAACTCAAAACAATCAAGCCTCACTCTCTTATAGGCTCAACTCATTGTATAATCAACAGAAAAAAAAGATACAAGTGAGAACTGAGAAGCCACCTCTGATGCATCAATAAGAGCAGTCTTCTGGTTTGGAGGTGCCAAGACTTTCTGTATCAGTGTCTCAGCTATCTGTGACCACACCAATGTTCAAATCATATTCTCCATTCCAAAACAATTCGTATGAACATACATATATATATATACCTGCTTGGGAGGACCAAAGTTTTTGATAGTCTGTTTGCTGGTCAGGGATCAAATTGACACTTACACTTTCTACTGGCTCAATGATATCTTTGTAAACCTTGTCTTGACCTTCAATCACAACTTCCTGACACCAAACACAACATCAATGGTCATTCTGTGCAAATGTCAAGAGTGTTTAAAATAGAAAAGAGGATATAAACCTGCCAGCCAAAGGGATAGACAAAGGAATAAGTATCCTTATTGTCAGAGACAGTCATGAATCATTTGTTGCTTTCTGCAGCAACTGATCCCATTATCATCATATCCTCTTAGGATCTAATAATTTTAGCTTAGAGGAGGAGACTAAGATAGGGATTAGATGACAATGTGATCCAGGAGCAACACAACACCAAATATTACTGTAGATATAACAAGCAGGTGTTTTTATAAAGTACAACAACCTCAAAGATATTTTCGGCCCAGTGTTGCTAAAAGCCTACCAAAAAAACTAAAGCCCAATAAAGCCCACATTTAGGTCGTAACAAAAACATCAACTAGGGTTTATGGCTAGTGAGTCTCTGGAGGTTTCGTTTTCAGCTTGAAGATGGTGCTCTCGAACAAGAAGCTCAAGCAGAAGCTTCGTCAAGATTTGGTCAAAAACCTATCTGTCTCTGTATCCGAAACCAATCCAGAATCAGTCTCGAGCTTGCAATCTCAATCTCTGAAAAATCTCCTAGACTCAGCCAGCCACAAACCCAGATTGTCAAAAAGAGAGAAAAAAAGAAAGGTCGAAACTGTCACAAGTGGAGAAGAACCCAATGAAGTGGAAGGTGGTGACGTTGAGAAAACTGATGAAAAGAGTGTGAAGAAGAGGAAGAGAGACGATACTGTGGAAGACAAAGTAGTTGAAGAAGGCAAAGTAGGTGAAGAAGGCACTAAGGAAGGAGATGAATCACAGAAAAATAAGCCTAAGAAGAAGAAGCAAAAGAAGAAGAAAAGAAAGGCAAAGAAAACTCCAAAGAAGGCTGATGATGACAAAGTAGAAGAGAAGGTTAAGGCAGAAGAGACTCAAGTTGTGACAGAGAGGTAAGTTTGTCTTAAGCTCGCGTGTTGTGTGTTTTTTTTTTTTTTTTTTTATGTTTCAGCTATGCTAATTTGATTGTGTTTTATTTAATGTTTTGTTTGCAGTAAAGAGGAAGAAGATGGGATTGTTCCTAAGAAGTTGTACGTTGGTGGTATTCCTTATCAGAGCACAGAGGATGAGATTCGTAGCTACTTTAGAAGCTGTGGTGTTATTACAAAAGTTGACTGCAAGATGCGTCCTGAAGATGGAGCCTTCACTGGGATTGCTTTCATCACTTTCGAAGTAAGTCTTTGATGGAGCGTTGCTGTTTCTCTTGCGTTATGTTGCTTTGAAGTCTGTGTAGGACATTGATTTGCTGCACTATTTGCAATGTTCCAAATATCGTTAGGTAGTTTAGGCTAATAAGCGATTGTGCTGATTATTCGAGGATAGGCAGGGCCTAGTAACAGATTATTGAATAGATGTTTTAGTTTTTAGGTTTAATTATAAAATTATTTTGCTGAATTTAAAAATTAGATATACAAAAACAAGAACTAGACAAATATATGGATTTGAACTAACATTATTACTTGATATAAGAGATTTAGACCAATTTAGATTGTTCTAAACCGATTTAGATTGTGTTAGTTCAAATCCACAAATTTGTCTACAGTTTGTGTTCGGTTTAAATCAATTTGAATAGCATAAGTTGGATTTAAAAAAAAAATCATTTTGTCTATGACTGATTTGCGGTCTAGGCAGGTCGCTTAGACTGATTTTTAGAACATTGAGGATTTGTATTCAAGAAACACAAGGTCTCTTTGTTTGGGGTTTAGGCTCATTTCAGTTTAAGATGGTTAAGTTGCATGTGTGTTAGTCTATAACTGTATTGACATTTTTCTCTTTTTACAGACTGAAGATGGTGCTAATCGTGCTTTGGCCTTTGATAGAGCTGCAATGTAAGTAATCTATGAAATGCTTAGGACTTTTCTTGTTCACATTTGATATTGTGTTGTTGAGTAATCGTTTTTAAACTTTGTTACTAGGGGTGATCGATATTTAACAATCCAGCAATACGTGAAAACCACACCTTCCGTTCCAAGAACGAGAACATCTTCTGGCTTTGTTCCAGAGATGGTGGAAGGTTACCACAGGGTGTACATTGGGAACTTAGCGTGGGACACAACAGAGCGTGACATACGCAAACTCTTCTCTGACTGCGTTATAACCACGGTGCGGTTAGGCAAAAACAAAGAAACAGGAGAGTTTAAAGGGTACGCTCATGTGGATTTCAAGGATAGTGTCTCTGTGGCCATGGCTCTTAAGCTGGATCAGCAGATTATCTGTGGAAGACCTGTCAAGATTTGCTGTGCTCTTAAAGAGAGACCAGTGGAGGATCATAGAACTAAACCTACACCTGTTGAAACAAACAAGGAAGAGACTAATCCTAATGAAGTTAATGATGGGAGCTTCTTTGCAACCACGATGAGTAGCGGTAAGATCAAAAGGAGGAGTTGTTATGAGTGTGGAGAGAAGGGTCATCTTTCTACCGCATGTCCCAAGAAGCTTGCTCAAAATGCGGATCAAGAGGCTGTTAACGCAAGACCAAGCTATGATTTTCAAAGGAGCAATGGTGGTGGCTCTTACATGGATGAGACATACACTTCATATAGTGAAGGCTTAGCATCTGAGGTTAGCACTGGTAAGATCAAAAGGAGGAGTTGTTATGAGTGTGGAGAGAAGGGTCATCTTTCAACCGCATGTCCCAAGAAGCTTCAAGAGGCTCAAAATGCGAATCAAGAGGCTGTTAACGCAAGACCAAGCTATGATTTTCAAAGGAGCAATGGTGGTGGCTCTTACATGGATGAGACATACACTTCATATAGTGAAGGCTTAGCATCTGAGGTTAGCACTGGGAAGATCAAAAGGAGGACTTGTTACGAGTGTGGAGAGAAGGGTCATCTTTCTACAGCATGTCCCAAAAAGCTTCAAGATGAGTCTCATAAAGAGACTGTTAACGCAAGACCGGCTATGCCAAGCTATAATGATCATCAAAAGAACTATGGTGGTGGTTCTTACATGAATGAGACATACACTGCTACCAATGAAGCTCCTAGTGGAAGCTTACCAGCTGAGGTTAGCATTGGTAAGATCAAAAGGAGGAGCTGTTATGAATGTGGAGAGAAGGGTCATCTTTCTACAGCTTGTCCAAATAAGCTTCAAAACAGTGGTCATACAAACTCAAAGGTGGATCACCAGACTGTTGAAGCAGGACAGGTTGAAAAGGAATCAGGAGATACTAGCAACAAAGGAGGTTCTTACATGGACGTGACCAATGCTACTGAACCGATACCTGTTGCTGCTGCCACTGTTGAAACTAATGAAGGAGGCTCAGTGTCTAAGGTTAGCGCTGGTAAGATGAAAAGGAGGATATGTCATGAATGTGGATTAAAGGGTCATCTTTCTTCAGCATGTCCTAAGAAGCAGCAAAAATAGAGGTGAATCAACAAACTCTACAAAGACAGCTTAAAACATTGTACTGAAATGTGTTTTAAATTTTACATTTTAAAGGAAGATATGAGGACTGCCACTTGGTACTTTGGTAGAAGAATTGAATTTTGGTTTTTTTTTTTGTATTGTTTTATTATAGATCCTACCCAATCTTTTTTTTTTATCACACTTGGAGACAACGCTTCTTCTGATCCTTTCCCTGAATGTTGCTCACTGCGTAGAATAGAAGCCATCATTAGCCTCACCTCCGTGTCTATCTTCCTCACACATATATATATATATATATATATATATATATATATATATATGAGTTATATACTTGATTTTATAAGTTCACCCTAAAAAATGTAACGATATTGATAGTAGTTTCATTTAAACTATTTGTATATCGACTAAAAGCTTTGTTCATTTAGTACGTTAGACTAATGTTAACAAAGATTTTAAAAATATATCTACAGACTAGTATGGTCTATCTTGTTCTTATGGAGGAGTTTTAAAGGTGACTTTGCACATCGGATTGTATTGAGTCCTTTGAAGTTTCGGCTGATCCATCAACTAATCAATGTTTTTAGTAGAATTTTTTTTAAGTGCATTAGTTAATGTACATTTCCCTTTTTGGGGCTTCTGCTCCCTGAAAGACTGATCTTTACCAGTTTCGTCTCCCTCATAATTCTTTGGCTAAGTTTTCGTTCTCTTCTATAAATATAAATATCAGATGACAAAAAAGAAAAAAAAAATACTATGGTCTAAGAGCACCCCCATCAAGGGTTCAGATGGGGTTCACACGATTTTCAAAAAAAAAAAATATTATAATAAGGAATAGTGATGAACCTGTCTCTTGCAGACTCTCTGCGGTGAATCCGGTTCATCACTGTAGCGTGGGTCTCGGGATGCTCTAAGGCTTTTAATCTAGGGTCCTCTACTTTTTTCACGAAACAAGTGGCGACTAAACAAAAAAAAAAAAAAAGAAAAATCAAACCAATGGTCACCCCACATATATATTACAAATATCTTTGTCATTGAACAAAAAAAATAAAAATATTTCTCTCTTTATCGGTTGCATGTTTTAAACACAATTTTTTTTTTTTTTGTAACTGAACACACAAATCCTTACTGAACTATATTTTGTGCGTTTTGTGAGGGGAGAGGAGAGATCTAAATGGGACCAATCAAAGCGATAAAGAAGAGGAAGAGATCAGCTGAGAAGAAAGTTGATCCCAACGTCTTACTCGCTGCTTCCGCCGCCGCCGCCACTGATTCTCTTCTCAACAACAACGACAATAACGACGACGACGACGACTACTCTTCATCTCAGCCGTCCGATTGGTGGGATGGCTTCTCTCGCCGTATCTCTGGTACTTCCTTCTTCCTGCATTTGGTATCGTTTAATCTCATCGTTATCGACGGAATGTAGCTTTTCCCTTAATTGTAATTCGTCGTTTTGAATGTTGATAAGATAGCAAGTTTGATTGATTTATTGTTAGGTTAAATAAATGAGATTTAGTTTTTGAACTCAATCTTGCTTTTTGTACATTTTGAGTATGGAACTTTTTTGTGGTTTGGATCGAGTAAAGCTGTTTCTGGGGGTTGTAAGATCCCTTTTTTTTTAAATGTGGTGGTGGTGGTGGCTTACTACATTTAGTTATAAAGCTGAGGCTTGTTCTTGGTGCTTGTATGCTGAGTTTTGGGGCCACTTATATAGATGTGAGCTTAAAAGTTTATTCTTCTAAATCAAGCAAGTTTTAGGAGCTTGTTACCTTCATGCTTTACTGCTTTGCATTATATTGTGATACCTCCCCTGTTATGAATTGGGATTAACCATTCTTGAAGATATTTTTGTTTGTAACTCTCATTTTCTGATGATGCCTTGTTGACTCATTGTGTAAGAGTTCTGCTACATAACTCGATGCCTCTCTCAGTGATATTGAGATTTAGAGAAATGTTGAACTAGTAATGAAATGTTTGTGCACTGTCACTCCCTTCTAGGTCGATTGTAACCAACTGACAGACGCAGATCAGCTCTTCTTTTTGTTTATCAGATCTAGTAACTTAAACAGTAATGCTATGCTAATTTCTGTTTCATTCATTATGATATTGTTTAGAAGAGGAACAAGCTTGACGTTGTTGGTCCTTGTTACTATCAGACTGTCATGCTTTTTTTTTCTTTACCTTTTAGTTCCACTCTGTTTGTGTTATGCAAATTTCGTCTTCATAAGCTTAATCAGGGCAACTACTATCTTTCAATATGTTATTGTTTAGAAGAGGAACAAGCTTGATGTTGTTGATCTTTGTTACTAAGAGATAATCATGCTTCTTCTTTTTTTTTTTGCTTTATGTTTTAGGTCCATATTCGGGGTCTAGGGATCCAAAGACATTCGAGTCAGTCTTTAAAGTATCAAGAAAGACTTTTGACTACATTTGCTCTCTCGTGAAAGAAGACTTCACAGCAAAGCCTGCAAACTTCAGCGACTCAAACGGCAAACCATTAACCCTCAACGACCGTGTTGCAGTGGCTCTTAGGAGGCTTGGCTCTGGCGAATCTCTCTCTGTCATTGGAGAGTCCTTTGGTATGAACCAGTCAACTGTATCACAGATCACTTGGCGCTTTGTTGAGTCAATGGAAGAGAGAGCCCTGCGCCATCTCTCATGGCCTTCGAAACTCGACGATATAAAATCAAAGTTTGAGAAAATCTCAGGCCTCCCAAACTGCTGTGGAGCAATAGACATTACACATATTGTCATGAACCTTCCCAACGCGGAACAGACGAACAAGGTTTGGTTGGACGGAGAAAAGAACTTCAGCATGGTCTTGCAGGCAGTAGTGGACCCTGACATGAGATTCCTAGACGTGATCGCTGGTTGGCCTGGAAGTTTAAGCGACGACGTTGTCCTCAAGAACTCAGGATTCTTCAAACTTGTTGAGAAAGGGAAGAGACTGAACGGGGGAAAGATTCAGCTCTCTGAGAGAACAGAGCTAAGAGAATACATAGTAGGTGACTCGGGCTTTCCTCTTCTTCCATGGCTTCTCACTCCATACCAAGGCAAACCCATGTCGCTTCCTCAAACAGAGTTCAACAAAAGACACTCCGAGACTAGAAAACCGGCTCAGATGGCGTTTTCGAGGCTTAAAGATAAGTGGAGGATCATAAATGGAGTCATGTGGATGCCTGATAGAAACCGGTTACCGAGGATAATATTTGTCTGTTGCTTGCTGCACAACATTCTTATAGATATGAATGATCAGACTCTGGATGACAGTCTCTTGTCTCACCAACATGACGTCAATTACAGGCAACGAAGCTGCAAGACTGTCGATGAGGCTTCGTCGGTACTGAGAGATGAACTCTCTAACCAATTGTGGGGAGAGAACTCGTCAGCTTGATTACTCTCCATGTTCTTCTCATCTTTGTGTAATAGATTCATCTGCTTCTGTTCAGCATATAACATCTTGCACAAGCAAGCCTTGTGACGGTGGCAACCAGGATTGGTTAGTTCCTGTCTCATTGATGTGTAATGTATACCTTGATATCCTTACGATTTCGTTAGAATAATAATTATCATTGGTTTGTGCTTCTTAGTCCATTTTAAAAATGTTTTGAGGAGGCCTAGACAATTCGGTTTTCAGTGGTATTTTGATTTTTGTTTCTAGAGATGAACTGCTTGGTTATTTACGAAATTCGGTTCTTTTTTTTGGTTTTTTCGGTTCAGTTTGGTTACGATAACAAAGTTGGAACTGGTTAATATCAGAAAAAAAAAATCGGGTCCAATTCGGTTTCAGTTGGGTGTCTGGTTTTCAGGTAATTTCAGATAATATGGATGATAAAATTAGATCATTCAAATCTTTCAGAATAAATAATGGTAACTAGGTGTTTTGCCCGCATATGCGGGTTTAACAATTTTATAATTATTTATTATTAGTAAATGCATTACTTATTATTAGTAAATCCGTTGCTAACTATAAATATAAATTATTATTTATATTTTCATTAGAAAATTTGTATATTCTATAATTTGTTTTGAAAAAATATTTATTATATTATTATTAGTAAATAAATAAATAAATAATTCAGTATTCTTTTTTTCAAATATATAAAATTAAGAATGGTTTATTAATATTAATTTATGTATTTTCTGCTTATGAGTTTTTGGATTTTATTTTTTTATAAAAGATATTTTTTTGGATAAGAACACAATATATATAAGAATATTTTTAAAAATTAAAATCTATATTTTAAATTTTGAATAGTGATTCTTTTTATTAATTTTAACAAATACTCTAGTAAATAAGTATTAAAATTATCATTTCAATTATATAAAATTAAGAATTTTACTTGAATAATTTTTAGTTTATGTTTTTTTGTTATGATTTTTTTAATTTTTTTACTAAAAGATATTTTTTCGGATAACAACCCAAATATATTTAAGAATTATCTTTTACAATAAAATATATTTTTAAAATTTGGATAATTCTTGTTGTAGTTAGTTTTAATAATTTAACTAATCAAATAAATTAAATTCGTTTTCATTTTTGGTTAATTTATAGCTTTTATTCATTAAGAATATCTTTAGTTTATGTTTTTTTTGTTCAAAAACCAACATAACATAATAAATTGTTATTTAAGTTTTTGCAAAGTTTAATTCAAACATCAAATCTATAATAAATTATTATTTATGTTAGCTAATATTTTTTGTTTAATCATTTAATTATAAATTGTTTTATATCTTAACTTTTTAACTTTTATAAGAAGAAAATATTATTTCAAGATAATAACACAATATATAAGAATTATTTTACTTTTAAATCTAATATTTTAATGGAAATTCGATTTTATTTAAATATTAAATTATATAAAAATTCATTAATGGTAACAAAGACAACCAATCTAACTTTCAACGTGAGAGCTCCGTTGCGAAAAATCACTTCGCAAATAATAGTATAGATATGTTTTTTTGTTCTGATTTTTATAATTTTTTTACTATAAGATATGTTTTCGGATAACAACCCAAATATATTTAAGAATTATCTTTTACACTAAAATATATTTTTTAAATTTGGATAATTCTTGTTGTAGTTAATTTAAGTAATCAAATAAATTAAATTTGTTTTTATTTTTGGTTAATTTATAGCTTTTATTCATTAAGAATATCTTTAGTTTATTTATTTTTTGTTCAAAAACAAACATAAC